ATGGGTGTAATGAATCATTTAACCTTACTACTAAATGGTGAAATAGAAAAATTATCGAAAGTGTGAATAGAAGCAGGGAAAACACGAGAAAAAATACGCGTGTCAAACAACAGTCAGATGACTTAAGCTGAATGAACTAATCACAGTTCCATTCGAATATCACTACAAACTTTAAAACCACTTGTCTACTGATAAAAAAAAGGATAACCGTATTTGAATAACTTATGTCTCAATTTGTTACAGTTATACAATAAAAATAACATGTACCAAATGGAACACACTTAACTTGAAAGTGAAATTAACTTTTGAAAAGGAAGATATAACTCTGCTGTCTACTTATTTATGTTGACATTATTATGGTAAAAGAACTCAATGTTAAGAAATAGATTCAACACTCTTTCCATCAGTGCTGTTTTTAACCAGACTAATGGATGTCAATGACACTTTTATTTACAGAAATACCAATAACGGTTCAAGTGAAACTGCTTCTGGTATTAAGCACGTATACCTGATTTGAAAAAAAAAATATTTAGAAAGTATTCCCTCACAGAGTAAATAATGTTAAATTATTTTCAACTAAATAGATTTGAAATCTCGAGTGAAAAGGAAGAATGGTTACGTCATTTTTGTTTACTCACTCAGTCGAGTTTACAAATGAAGTCTAATTCATAAGAAATAGATCTTGATCAGTTTAAGCGCTTATTCTCTTCATCGCCTCAGCTCATGACTTTTACATTTTCATTGTGAACTCAGAATTTATTAGTCAAGGTGATTTCGCTAGTGATCAAGTGAATTTATTATTTCCTTGGAAGACATTTAAGATTGCATGGAGTGATGATGAGAGGTACCAGTAGTTCAATTGATTTTTTCGGAGACTTGTGAAGGCGAAGAAAATCACTTTAAGAGAAAATATTTTTCAAAAGAATAGATACTGAACAAAGAGTACTCTTTTCGATAACCTCTGCATCATCAGGCTCTACAGCTATATATACATTATAGTGGATGAATGAATTAGTGTTATGAACAACATTAATGTCATTTAAATAACATCAAATCAATAATATTGATCGATTACAGCTCAGTAGCATCAACATAAAATTTCATTTTTTCATTTTTGATTACAGCTTGATTCCACACTGTATTTTTGGTACAAGTATGGAATTTTCAGCATGGATATCGGTAGCCCAAATTTTGTAGGCCGACCATAGATATCAGGTGTGCGTTGGCAGGGGATTGAACCTTGGACCATGTGCATGGTCGGTGAGAGTTCTAACCACTGTGCTACCGACGCACGGGTTATAAAACTACCAGAGAATATCAACTGAACAAGAATTATGGTATAATTAAATCAGTGTGTTTGAATTACTCAGCCAAAGTTGGCAAGACAAACAAGTAATTATTGAAATCAAACTTCCTTGATTTAAACAGTTAATTAATCATTTCATTTTTTTTCCAATTTCATCCTTTATTATTATTATATCCTTTAATTCCTAGAGGAACATAGGGCTTCAGCTGCGCACCTCCATTGCCTTCTGTTTTCTGCCAACTTTTTCACTCCGCTCCAAGTCTGCGCATATGCTTTCATCTCCTCTTCACATGACCTCCTCCAAGTCACCCTTGGAGTCATCATTATTTTCAAAGTTATGGTTAAATATTCAAATATTCAAAATTTGTGGATTCATTTAACTTCAGGGTAAGTATCATAACTAATAAATGTCGATTAGTGGATCATTGATAATCAAGAAGCATGGAATAGGTGTCCCAACCTACGATGAGTGTCACCAACAGAGCATATTCATAACCTTATTAGGGACTGAACCCAAGAGTTGCAGATCAAGACAGAGCTCGTTAACACTCAGCTGCTAGGTCGAAATTAAATGGTTCATTATTTTTAACTTCTATTAATTCGTAATACACTGCTAATAACAGTTTTCCACGGAAAACTTGTAATGATAGAGAGGAATGTACTGTCAAAATTTTTTTTCTTATGTGTGATTCTGATATGTATCCACATATATATGTATATATGTGTGTGTATGGTGATCTCTCTGTTTGCTCGCTTAGTCTGTGACCATTTCACTTTGATGAACCTGTCTTCTTTAACAATGTATATTCCCCTTATATTATATATAATATGAGTGTTTGTTGACAGTCCGTCGCTTGGTGACATATATCCATATATGGTGGTTGTTGACATGTCTGCTATATTTTGCTATGTATATATGGATCGATACTCCATTATAATTAGCCATTCATGTTAAGACTGTCTATTGATTTGTTCACACATTTGTCTGGACATTCGTATATATTTCGCTCACACAATCTTGTGTGACTACACTCTTTGGTGTGATACCACTTATTGCTTCTCCTTGTGTTTGGAAAATAGAAGTATCATCACAAACCTAGTGGTCTTCTGATTTCCGCCTTCTTGCGTCAGGACTATTAAATTCTCGACCAGTACATAACAATAATTTGGCGACGAGAACATAACAGATTCTGTTTATCTAAGTAATGAAATGCTGAAAATTTTACTTCACTTGATTACAATACCACGTCAGCTGCAAATTACACAGTTCGCCTAGACAGCTAGGCAGAACTCTGTATACTAAACCTGTACAGTTACACTGTTGATGAGCTTAACAACAAACGAATAGAACGATGCTTAGGTCGTTTACATCTAACTAGTGCTCACGACTATTCAACGTCAGTAGTTTCCAACTATCCATATTAGATAGAAGTATACCCTTCATACTGACTGACTTAGTATCTCTCTGGTCTAATGTGTCAGTAGTAACTGACGGATCACCATGTGGTGCAAGTAATCATTCAGGGTCGGTAACGTGATCACTACGTTAAGCAACACAATATCGCTTCTATCTGGAACATCTTCTGTTCTGTATCAGTAACCCTATGGCCGTGAAGGGAGTGTCGAGAAATTACGTCATACTAATCAGGGAAATCTACTCAGAATCACGAAGCTACATAAGAGCTTATAAAGAGTTGTCATCTGAAGTGATGACAACCGGTGATTTCTGTCAGAGATGCCCATTGTCCTCACTTCTGTTTAATTTCATCATAGATTTACACACTAATGGACTTAACCCTAACTGACTTCAGAGACTCAGAGATTGACTGGTTACCATCAGAGAATAATCACGTTGACCTAGAATATGCAGATGATATAGTCCTTCTAGGTGAAGACGCTGGAAAAATCCATCAGAGTCTTCTGAACACCTTGAGCTGCAATCTTTGAATAATTTGTAAGTGACTCACTCCCGCCAAGTCTAAGATGATGCTACAGGAATGGACTACATCAACTCCTAGCTGGTTTGAAGATGGTTAGTATAGTGGTACAATGTGCAGACAACTTCACTTATTTGGAACGTTGCATCAACCCCAACGCCAGAGGGTTGATTGGTGACGAAATTTCAGCACGGATACAGAAGGCTCATTTGGCATATGCCAACTTCAGCCATTGATATAAGAATAAAACTTGTGCACTGTGGTAGAGTGTAATTCCATTATGGGTAAATTATGTTTTGATAAAGTCTCACAGTGTTATACAGTAATGTTTACTGATGACGTTTCGAGCACAATAATCATATCATACCCTTGATATGATTGTGAGCAATAAATTGTGCTCGAAACGTCATCAGTAAACATTACTGTGTAACACTGTGAGACTTTATCAAAACAAAATTTACCCATGATGGAGTTACAACTTCAGTCATCTCTGGCGTAGACGGGATATTTGGTTATTAACCAAAGGATATGTGTACTGCTCAGTAGTTGGCTCCATCCTCCTTTATGACTGTGAGACATGAAAGTGGAAGATACGAAAGGATCAGGTAGTTGTCTTTGATCACAGGCGCCTGCATTCTATCTCTCCTGTTAGGTAGTATTATTACTGGATATTATTGGAGACAGGTGCAGTGTGAGGTAAGGAGGGAAAATTAATCGACGAGGTTGTGAAGCTAGTACATGAGTTACGGATTCATGCCTAGCCATTGCCTTCCTCGACAGTGAGCAATGTTAGCTGATACAGGATCAGTGCAGAAAACAATTACTACAGGTCAAACTAAAAAAGGCCATCAGTCCATTAAATCTTTAACGGTTAGTGTGAGCCACATAAGGAAGTTTAGACTGTCTGGTCGGTGTCGTCAGAATTCGAAGAACCAGTGACTGGAAATAATTGGTGATATGGCTCAAAACTGTTCTCAATGGCTGACGCAGATGCATTCACACTCAGTAATCTCCCGTATCAATTAAATCATCATGATTTCCCATGTTACTATTCTCTCTCCCTAAGATTTATGCTTATTATCTTCCTCTGAATCTCTTTTCCCTGTTTGTCTTCTTTTGTGTGCTATATGAAGTGTAACAACTCGAAATGCTGTACTTCTGTGCAAAGCTCTATGTTGAAACCAGTCAATTAGTCATCAATTATTAACAATCACACTATATCAATTAATTTGTGAATTGAAAAGCCTAAATTATTGAATTGAATTTTTGATTTTCCCGTCGATTGATTGGACCGAAGTGCTCGGTCTCAGGTTGACATGTCGGCTTCTTGTTGCAGATGCTTCGACGATGTGCGGGCATTTAGTTAGTATACAATTGGTGGATGGTGGCTAGCAGTGGAATCCAGGATGCGCATTTCGTCCCATTTGGGACTCGTCAGCTGGATGTACCCGCATTTCTCAGTGAGAGATGATGTTCCCACCGGGGCTCGAACCCAGTGCCCATAGTTTCAAACGCCAAAGCGTTATCCACTAGACCACTTGGGCCACGAAAAGCCTAAAGCCTAAGCCGCCCTGTTCAAAGTCTCATCAAAGAAGAAATTGAGATACTTAGATGATTGAAAAACACTAGTAATCGAAAAGTAGTTGAAATTCAACGACTCTGTCATACAGGCTAAGGGGTTAAAAAAAAAATTCTAACAATCAGAAAGTTTCTATGACATAACTGCTTAGGAAAAAGTATATATTAACTAATCGATTGAATTCTGTGCTGATGTTTCTTTCAAACATGACAGTGATGATAATAATAATAGTAATAAAAGTGTACAGATTAAAGTTTATACAAAATGATATGATTTAAACTCATTGATACAATGAATTTTGTCTACTAACGATTGAATATGTTGAGACAGGTAACCAATTTTGCATCAAAATGTCTTCATGTGATGACCTATCCCGAGCTTGTTTCCTTTCTGTCATAGTTCTGGAAAGCGAGAAGAATGTCATTTATGATCTGAAGTCAATATAATTCACTATATCTAGACGCGGAATGGTTAAATTACACAGATACACAAATCAAAGGAAGTTAATTAGTATAAAGACAAAAAAATTAGGAAATTAGATAAACCAAACTATTCACTTCTCAAAGGTTTCTAATGTGCGTTTTTGATTTGATTTATATGTCCTAAAACAGAATGTAATAAATTATGTGATGAATGTAAGATTGACTGATTTGCAGGTAAATGATGTGTCTCCAATCTGTTTTCGGTATTTAAATTGCTACTAATTTGTTTAAATGAGCTCCACTCACATTTTGGATAAGCACGTTTTGCTTTAAGCTTACCACTGGGATTATAGGATAAATCATTAATTCCTTTATTATCAGAAAGGTTATTTGACCTTAGTAAATTATGCTGACTATGACAGTCAGTTGTAAAATTGAAATCTTTATTATCCAGTGAAGATTGATTATGTTGTATAGCGAAGGCTTTAATGTTTATTTGATTTGATGAATCGGTTTTTGAATGTTTCGCCAATATTTCATGGTTATATTCCACTCTGAGTTGATTTTGATTGCATGACAAATCTTTGAAAGTATCTTCTGCCTCCTCTTGTTCAACATCTCCTTCATTTTCATCTTCTCCATTATCATCATCATCAACATCATCATCCTCACCATCAGAAGCTGATCTTCTCTCCTTAGAACTTGAGTTGCTTATAACGTCTTTACCGTCAGTATGCAAACGTTTATATTTTGTTCGCCGATTTTGAAACCATACTTTTACCTGTTCAGGAGAAGAAGAATAAGAATAAAATTATTTTAGTCTAATTGATTCGTTTCTGTAACAATTTTATGTGAGTATAATGTGGATATCAACCTCGAAAACAGTTCATCCAGTGCATCAACATGACAGTAATACTTGTCGTAATCAATGTTAATAAAGAAAATATCTCCTTGAAATACTAAGCAAAAGACTTCCTAACCCCTAACTGTAAGTTCCGAGTACCTAATTCATCTCTTGTCTGTTTTTCTTTTCATGGAAACTGACTAAGGAACTGCAGATGTGTAGCTTGTCCTTCCTAAAGCGGAGAAACTACATCTAGGCGGATGATAACGTTTGTACACACACACACACACACACACACACACACGACACACAAACAAGCTCGGCACCTATTACTTAACACAACAGAGCGTTACAACGAGGACTGAATCAGATTACAAATTGGGATAAAAAACACTTTGTATTCTTGAAATCTCTCTTTAGATTATTGATAACAACATTCAGCTGTTGAATGTCGATTAAAACACACTGTACAGTTATTGAAAAGAAACTGCTACTTAATCCCCCCCCACAGTATGACGAAACAAATTTTTCACTTGAATAGACTTTGTTGTTAACTAACGGGTCGACTCATCATCCCACGAATAAGTTATAGAAATGATAGACTCACTAGTGAAAACACCTTCATTTCGATATTTAGTCAGTGGTTTAAACAGTCATGCTTTCATTCATTTATGAATATATCGAATCGTTAATAAGTAAGATGTGTGCAGTATATGCTGTTACTGTCATAACTAACTGACAGAGGAAGTCGTGAAAACGATAATTATTACTTTTTCTGTTGAAACAAAGTATATAGGATTTTCAACTGTTTGACCAGTCGAAAACTTCTAGCCGATCACAACTAAATTATCAAGCTTTAACGCTTTCAATCATCACACAGTCCATTTTGTTAAGCGAATGATATTTTGTGGTTTGAATCATTTTGGTTTCCAAAGGAAACCAAAATGAAATTTCATCAGTGTCTCCGTAATATGCAGGCAAATAATTTGGAGTCTCAAAACTTTAGTGGGTCTATTTGTTACCAGATGATCCCTCAGATTTGATCACATGTTGGTGTCAGTTAGGGAACCACTGAAGACCAGAGAGTACTGGACAGCTGCTTCGCCCTAGTTTTGGTCTCTTCAGTAGTACCCACCCAACGGGATTCAAATCCAGAACTTTCCGATCAGAAGGCAAGCCCGTAGACCATTCAGTCAATAGGATCCAAATATAGTGGCTCATGAATACCAACATCTACCTATTCGTGATTTTAACCCAAACATCAGCTAATGTCATCTGTGAGTATATGTGCTCACACTCAATCTGATGGCCCCCACTGGTCAGAACCTCCCACTAGAACTCCAGCCAATTTTGTCCTGTAGTCAGACACTAGTAGGCAGCAGATGATAGTCGCGCTAAAATCGCAAACTCGTAGAAGCTAGAATTCATAGGCCATTGGATCGGGGTGTCAGTGGTAGAATGGTCTACGTCCTGGTTTCGAATCCCATTGGGTGCATACTACTGAAGAGACCTAGTCTGGGGCGAAACAGCTGTCTAATACTCTCTTGTTTTCAATGATTCTCCAACTGACATCAATCACTCTGTGATCAAACTTACAGCAGGTGAAATCCCTACAAACTAACTCTTAAAAATACCTTAATTCCTCTAACTTAACCTGAACAAGTCTAGAAGATCATAAGCCTCACTGCACATGCAAAAATCACTTATCGATGAAAAGATTATTAGCTTTTCTAGTTTATGCGAGCATTTCTCTGAATATCTAAAATTATTCTGTTATGGTTAAAAGTCAGTTTAAAAATTTATCAACTTTTGTCTCTATTCAATGTTAAACAAAAACTAAAATTAAAAATTCTCTTACCCCTTTCATACATTTTATTTATGCATACCATCTATGCTTTTTATTTAAATATAGTACATTATTATAATAAGTAACCATTAATTTTTTTTTCTTAAAACAATATTTTCCTTTTGGCTTTACGTATTTTTGGCTTGTTAAATAAAGATAAAACTTAGAAATGACCAAACCACTGACAGTAAAACAAAATCCTCACTAACTTATACACAATCGCGCTCTCTCTCTCTCTATGTCCTTCTTCGTCATAACTGTTCATCTGTTTGTGTTAATAAATCATAAATAAATGTGAAATTAATATCAGTTAGTCCATACATTTATATATGTTCATTTCGATAAATAATATGTACACTTTATATATATCGTGTTTCGTACCTATCAACTCTCATCAGCATAATCATCACCACCAACCTTTAGTTTGCATTCCGAAGGGATTAACATTTACCCACTTTGTGTCCATATGTGCATATAAATGTATATATATATATATATATATATATATGCATTACTGGTAAAACGAATCCAATCAAGTGGATTTTTGATAAGTTTCTTTAGAATAACAAGTTAAATTTACTACAATTTCGCGTGTATATCATTACTGTTATCATTATTATTATTGTTATTTTTATTTTTATGATTAACATTTTTAAAACTATATACATTTATTTCATTATTATCAAGATGTTTAATTAATTAGAAATAGTTCCTCACTGAGTAGTTTATAAATATTAATAATAATAATAATAATGAAAAGAAATGGACAAATATAAAAATCTGTTTTGAGGTGAGGCACTTCTTACAACTACAACAACAACAACAACAAATACTACTACTACTACTACTACTACAGAAAATGTATGCAACCGCATTGTTTTACCAAACGAATATTCATCCACCCTCCAACCTCCCTTATCAGGGGATATTTATGATACTGGTCTGTGTTTATATATATTTCTATATTTGCTATAATTCTAATATGGACATAGTCAAAAGGAATTAGTCACGCGATTGATTACAAGCTTCAATTTTATCAACTTTAGTGTCGATGATGTCGTTGTTGTTATCCCCAGTGTTTATATGTGGATATAGATGTGAAAGAGTGTTTTATCAAGTTGACAATCGAATTAAGAAGACAGTCAGTGAGAGACTGAAAACAGATATATGAATATATATATATATATTAGGAGTAAATTGTTTCTCATTTTATTACTGTACACAGATTTATGTACTCGGCCAAGTCGAAAAATAATAACTCGAAAGGAGTAAATAAAAAACAAACAACAAATGAATGGGGATACACTTTCTATCTCTTCAATCCGTCTTTTATCATAAAATAACATCTTGACATTTTGATTTTAAGTAGTCCATCTGTTTTTTATAAAATAAATTGAAAAATAAAGAAAGTTATTCAGTTTTCTTTTTTTTTTATAATGTTATGTTTATTCCAGTAGGTCAGAATTTTAATGTGTATGTCAATGTAGTTAGAGACTGCTTACATTAAAAGTCGGTGGTTAATGAACACTGAGACTTATATATAAAAAAAAACATCTTAAAAGAGTGACATAGGGCTTGGTGTAGGTATTTATTGACTCCAGTTTTTTTTAAATAACCATTAGTATAGTTCATTATTTACTGAAATAAGATCTAATTTATGTTTTCAACTACATTTTAACGACTGTTAAGTATGTTTTATAACAATAATGTCAAGTCAGTGTTTCTGTATAATTCAGAAATTTGGCACATCACCAAAAAGCATTTTCAACAACAGGCTATTGTAGACATTTATCAACAACAACTACCCTGACTGCCTAACTGAGGATTAGATAGCCAGAAAGTATTAACAACAAGGGAACACTTTGGCAACGTTTATCCGGAAGGAAATGAAGATGGATTGGACAGACATTGAGGAAACCAGTGAGTGACATCACGCTCTAGGCTATCAAGTGGAACTCCAATGGAAAATGACAAGGACCTGAGAAGGTGGTGAAAGTTCATAGACAATCGTGAAGTTATCTATAAAAAAAAAGACTTCAGAGAATAGTATGCAATGGGGGGGGGTGTAATATTGAAGCCCTATATTCCGTTGGAACTCATGGATTAATAATAAATAAGCAAGTTTTATATAATAACAAATTATTAAGCACTAACATTTCATCCCTGTTCTGCGTTAAACTTTAGATTCAGAAATTCTTTTTTAACCTTACACATCAACCTAGCGACACAAAGATGATGGTAATCATGCGTTCTCATACCATCCCTTATTTGTGGTGACTGAAATTCTCCTAGGATTTTAAATTCATTGTTTCATTGTATATCATAGTCTTCAATGAGGAACTGGAGAAAAAAGACATTCTATCACTGTTCTTTCAACAGAAACACATGAATTTACTTAATACCTTATCATATAAAACATTGAATTACACTTAGTTTCAATACTTCATTCCCTTTCGTTAATTTTTTTTATAGCAAAAAGACACTATTCCACGTGGGTCAGAGGTTCAGCGGTAAAACGGTTGTTAGTAGCGCCCGTGTTCTAGGTTCAATTCCCTGTTGATTTACTCTTAAGCCTCACTTAGCCTGTAATAAACCCAGTTATCGAGGAATGTTGGCTAAAAATAACACCAGTGCTACTGAAACTTCAAAGTTCATGCCTAAAACCTTATGTTCCACTCATAACACGAAGGATTGAAAAAATACCACTAAATACGCTACAGGGTGGGCAATTAATTTCTTCTAAATTTGATTGTAAGGCTTTCTGAGATAATCTTGAACTAACAGACTACTGTTCATGTAGTGGATGATAAGTGAAAGTGAACTGAAAGGCTACACCATGTTAAGATTCGACTAAGATGAATCCTCATCATTGGTTCATTGATCACCAGTTGTGAACAAATGGATACCTTATTCTGTAGAACAACTATGGGTAATAGCTTTAACCGGCTTTCTTATAAGACTCATGATAATCTCCTATAATCATATTAAAGAGAGTTTTCCCTCAGCTACACTGTCTCCCATAATGAATACCACTTTTATTGTCAGTACCTATATATTTAGACTATTTATTCAATGAGATGTGATTTACGAAACTAACATACGTCTCTGACTGCAGCCCCACTGGGTGACGCGAGTTCGAATCTCAGAAGGAACATGAATTCCTTCAAGGTTGCAGATACGCCTTGCTAACTGATGAGTGCCAACTAGCACAAAGCCTAGGTCCAAGGCTTCCTGTGGCCGATTGCCTCCAACCATCTAATATCATCAAATTAACATATTGTCTGTCTGCGAAAGTCATGATAAAGGAAGTATTATTTCAGTAATTTAAATTTCCCTATAGTATAATCAGAACAAGATTTTTAAGCGAACGGTTGTTTTGCGATAACTTCCTCCCGAGGCTCTACAATTATAAATCCATGGATATTAGAATACAAATAGCCAATACGGACATAAGGAAATTATATCAGAAACTATATTATTATTATTATTATTGTATCCTTTAGTTCCTAGAGGAACATAGGGCTTCAGCTGCGCACCTCCATTGCCTTCGGTTTTCTGACAACTTTTTCACCCTGCTCCAGGTATGTCCACATGCTTTCATCTCCTCCTCACATCACCTCCTCCGAGTCACCCTTGGATGACCAACTCGCCGCCTCCCTTTCGGGTTCCACTCGAGCATTGCTTGTCTAGTGATGTCACTTGATGGTTTCCTCAGCGTATGGCCAATCCATCTCCATTTCTTTCTGCCTATTTGTTTCACAATCGGTTCCTGATTGGTTCGCTCCCAGAGATCCCTGTTGCTGATCTTTTCTGGCCATCTGATCTTGAGTATTGAGCGGAGACAGTTGTTAATGAAGGTTTGAAGTTTGTTTGAGATGCTCTTTATGACTCGCCAAGTCTCTGATCCGTATAGTAGCACTGACTTCACATTGGAGTTGAAAATCCGGATCTTATTTTTGATGCTGAGTGCTGTTGACCTCCACACAGATTTGAGAGTAATGAAAGCTTGTCTTGCTTTTCCGATTCTGGCTTTGATTTCCTCGTCAGTTCCGCCTGTAGTTGAGACGATGCTTCCCAGGTAGGTGAAGGAGGTTGTTTCTTTCAGGTTCTTCCCATTTATGCTTATATATATTGGGGTACATGTATAAGACGAAATAGTAATCCGTTAGTTCATATTGTCAAATATATATATATATATCGTTTAACAAGAAGCAAGCCAAATCAACATTATCATTTGAAGACTAAAAAGGGAAACATACCTGAGTCTCTGTTAAATTTAAATCATTTGCTAAATCTTTGCGTTCTTGTCCAACAACATAATGATTCTTTTCAAATGCACTTTCTAGCTGAAATAGTTGAGATGGCGAAAAAGCTGTACGTATTCGTTTTGGTTTTCTGTTATCCGATGTAATTAAAACATTTCTATGCATTGAATCTTTGATAAAATGATCTATATGAAGGGACAAATGGCAAAAAATGAAACAAATATAAGAAAGATACTGTGTATAAAAGTGACACAAAATACTCTTTCTCTAACTTCACTTTGTATTTCAGATGTATAAATTTGACTGAAAACTCTTTCGGTAACTGTGCTGCTAACTGTTGAAGAAAAATAAGAAGTGAAAGCCCAAGACTAATGTCTGAATCGTTTATCTACTGTATTCGAAAATAAAACTCGATAAAAAAGGTAACTTATTGGATTTCTAGAGTATTTAGTGACACAGGCATTTCTATGTGGGGAATTTTGTGAATGAAGTCCAAAATATGAGGGATAAAGTTGGTAGGCAGCTATCATGATGCTTTCTGACCGATACTGTAACGACAGGATGTAGTTGACAGTGAATTAGCTGAATGCTATTTCATAAATATTATATTAAATGATCTTAAAAACTTACCTAGAATTATTGATACAAGAATAAAACTTGGGCACTGTGGTAGAGTACAGCTTCCCCTATTTACTTATTTATTTATTTATTGCTAGCTGAAGCTGGCAGAGCTTCAGAAAAGTCTCTCATATTTCAAGTGTTGGTTTGTAGGGATTTGATTGGTTTCAGGATTTCATCATGAGCTGACATTAGTTAGAGAACCATTGGAAAACCAGCACTGGAGTACTGGGCAGCTATTTCCCCTGTCCTAGTTTGGGACTCTTCATCAGTACATACCCACTGGGATTCGAACCCAGGACCTTCCGGCTACAAGGCGAGCTCGTATACCATTAAGTCACTGGGACCCGATCCAATGGTCCTTGAGTTCTAACTTCTGCCAATTCACGACATAGCGCGACCGCTAGCCAATGTCTTCGGCGAGTATTTGTCAGCTCATGATGAAATCCTGAAACCAATCAAATCCCTACAAACCAACACTCGAATACCGATGAGATGCTCACTGGCGACTGGCCCTATTCAGGTAGGTAGTTACCTGGGTTCCAGTGGGAATTCGTGACCAGTAGGGTGAAGCTGGTCGGGTGTGAGGACAAATACTCGCCGAAGACATTGGCTAGCGGTCGCGTTATATCGTGAATTGGCAGAAGTTAGAACTCAAGGACCATTGGATCGGGTCCCAGTGGCTTGATGGTATACGAGCTCGCCTTGTAGCCGGAAGGTCCTGGGTTGGAATCGCGGTGGATGGGTACTGCTGAAGAGTCCCAAACTAGGACGAAATAGCTGTCCAGTACTCCAGTGCTGGTTTTCCAATGGTTCTCTAACTAATGTCAGCTCATGATGAAATCTCTCATATTTGTTGGATATTTATTCTTTCATCATTCCATTCTTGGCAACACATGAATACCTCGTGTTAAAAATATTGTGTAGAAACTTGCTGCATACAACACAGACTGTAAAACAGTTAGGATAATTATAATTATTCGTATCTCTATAATTAGACTATTGTTCATGAGTTCAGCGCTATTAGACTTTGAGAGGTTGACAGCTGTGAAAAGTACATTATCATTTCTGATGCCTTCACAATTTATCTATGTCCAACACGACTGAAGAGGAACCAAACCATGATTTGACACTTGTTTATGTTTTCAAGTATTGGTTTTGTAGGGATTTTGTTTGATTGCATGGAAGATTTAATCATGAGCTGACATCAGTTAGAGAACCACTTGTTTTTGTCTCAGAGAACGAGATTTCTCAAGCCTTAAAGTAATAAACATTCTTTAAAAAACATAGACAGATACTATCGAGTGATACATGTATAAAAGTTATATTATCATAATGCTACTATTATTCCATTTGGTTATAGAGCGGAACATACAGCTTCAACAGCACATCTTCAATCACTCGGTTATATGCAGTCCTTTTTAGGCGGCTCGATGGTTGCCCATAAGCTTTCACCTCCTTGTCGCATTATCTCTTCCATATCACCCTCGGATGCCGCACTTGTCACCCCCCCCATTCTTATTCTACTCGAGCGGTAGCCTAACACGTGATGTCAGTCAGCCGTCTCCTCAGCGTTTGTCTTATCAATCTCTATTTCCTTCAGCAACATTTTTTGGGGCAATAGGTTCTTGGTTGGTTTTCTCCCAGAGTTTCTCATTGATAATTCTTTTCGGACATTTGATTTTCAATGGTAAACCACCGAAGGAAGCTGTTGAAGAAAGTTTGTAGCCTGTCGGAAATGTTTATTATGATACCCGCACCAACTGACTCAACATCAGTGTTGAAAACCCGGATATTGTTCCTTACACTGAGTGCGGCAGATTTCCACAATGATTTAACAATAATGAACTCCATCTGGTCCTGCTTGGATTCATCTGTGCTGCCTGTAGTTGAAGGAATGATATCCAGGTCAAGTAATTGAAAGAAATGATTTCCTTTATATTTCTCCTGTTGATGGTGGTTGGGTTTCTTCATCACTTCTGTCTTCTCTACATTCACTTCAAGTCCTACCTTTGCTGCTTCCCTTACTAACTTGTTAGTTTTCATCTGTAGATCTTCGAATTTGCATGACATTAGATATAAGTTACCTGTGAATTCCAGATCTTCTACAATCCTCTTGTCAAGTTCAACGTACGCCGGTCTTCTCGTTTCCTACGATCTGCTGGTATATGTATTATTCCAGTGAGTACTTAATTCTGACAGAATTTTATCGACTAGGCTTAAATAGCAACTTTAAAAGTAGACATCTTTATAAAAAATATGCTCTGCCTGACTTCATACAGTTAGTTCTAGTCAAACTTGTGTTGGATATAGTCTGTATGACAGATTGTGTTTCTTTTAAACCTTAAAATTGACAACAGCAGCATCATCGCAAATTAGTATTAGTTTCACAACTTATCATGTCGTCCTTCAGATTTCAAGTATTATACATTATCATATAAAATAAACTTTAAGTTAACATATAAGTAGTATGCATAGGTTAAATAAAAACATTTGATTGTCTTATTTTTGTCTCTTATTATTATTATTAATATAATACCTTGGAATGCATATCTGATGATCTAATTTATTTGCTCTGATTAATTACACTTTTTATAGTTAATACATATACAATCATTTATTTGTTCTTCTTTTTTTAAATGATACCTGATAATATTTACTGATAATTAAAACAAATTCTGTATTAATTCTAGTGAAATGAACAAAAAAGTAATGGAATTAACATGGCATATGGTTTTGAAAAAAGTATCTTTAAGAGAAAGGGGAAAAGAAATGTCAAAGACTGCTTGCTCAAATACAAACAAACACGTATATGCTGACTGGTAGAATGAAGTATTTTATTAATGTTACTATTACTGGTAGTAGTATTATTATGATTATGATTATTATTAGCTATAGCAATAATGGCAGTATATTACCTGACCTTTTGCTAAAAAAAATATGAACTTCTGATACAACATATGTAGTATTCTCAAAGATTTATCTTTTTTGATTATAAGAAAGCATCAAATTTAGTGAATGGAAAAAAAAACAATTTCTGTTGAAAGATGAACTTTCATATGATAAATGTTTCTTCTATTTGATAGAAATGAGTGTTAAGTTGAGTCGAGTTGATTAACTCTTCCCACCCCGTCCCCGTCCCCCTGTCCGCACGAAAGTTCCTTGTCTTTATCTCGTTTACTCAAATATAAGTATGCATTCAATACATATACATAAATATATATGTTTTTTATTTCAACAGAAGTTATGGTTGGAGATTAATATTTTCACTGCCTTCCCTGTACTACATATAGTTTCCTTATTTGTCTTTTTTGGAAGATTAGACATAGGCATAAGCGCCTAATATTTATGATTTTTCTTAAAAATTACATACCTGCATAAATCCCTAAAGACAGATAAGTACACTAACAAAAGAAGACAAAAAAAAGTGGAAGAAATAACAGAAGCATATTTTTTTGGCCTTCTTGGTCACTCATGTCGTGGTCTTAATTTGTTCTTCATTACTATATACAATTCGGTGAATTTGTCAGTATATGTGTACGTGTGTGTGAGGATGACATTAATCTTATTTGTGTAAGTCAGACAAATATTGTTTGTCTCTTTCTTCGGCAATAACAGTAGACGATGGAATGAACCGTCAGAAAGAAGAAGCAAGATAAGTAGAAGCTAAAAGGGGAATTAAGACCGATCCCATATTAGTTATTATATATATATATATATATATATATATATATATATATATGCATATATGTGTACGCCTATTATCAGACTGTCATTTGAGATGATTGCGTGCTATGCTGTGGTAGAACAAATTATACTCATTGCTAGATGAAAGTAGAAGAATACTGAGGACGACATTTAAACACGCGTATAAAATAAATGTTTGTATTACCTTACAATTTAAATAAGGACAGACTTAATTTATACGGTGAATATATATATATATATATATATATATATATATATATATATATATATATATATATATATATATATAGACAGAGAGAGAGAGAATTCAAAGTAATGTCAGATATTTGAAGTCAAACGAGTCAAATCCATTAAAGGTACTTCGGCTCGATGAGGATTAATACATATCTGCACATAAATGTTAAAGTGTTGGTCTACAGGATTTGATCGTGGCCTGACATAGGTTAGAGAACCACTGGAAGACCTAGGGAGTACTGGAATGCTGCTTCGTCCTCACTTGAAGCTTATCAGTACGGACCCACAGGGTTTGAGTCCAGAATCTTCCCGTTACAAGCCGAGTTCGTAGACCATTAAGCCACTAGGACCCGATCCAATGGCTTATTCATTCCAGCTTCTGTCAATTTGCGATATAGCGCGACCACTAGCAAATGTCATCGCTGGCGAGTATCAGTTCTCACAGTCAACTTGCTGTACTCCTCTGGTCACTACTTCTCACTAGTACTCAGGTTTTCCAATGGTTCTCTAGCCGATATCAGCTGATGATGAACTCATGTACCAAGAGTATACTGAAAATACTGACGGAGATTTTCGCTTTATTCAAGACATTTTAAGAAATACTCAACTTAAAGTTAATAAAATT